CATTAATCCTTCTAGAACTATTCCAGCTGCTCTTCGCAGTAGAGTGAAAGAGGAACTTGGACGAGGACAGTCAACTCCTTACCACTTTCAACACTCCTTTTGGCAGATATTGCTACACTTGCACTCCATTTGGTATCACCTCAGCACAAGAAGTTTTTCAGAAAAGGATGCATCAACATTTCGACAATCTCGAAGGTGTTGAAACGGATATTGACGACATCCTTATTCACGGAACGACAGAAGAAGAGCATGATCGACGCCTCGAATCAGTCTTAGAAAGATGTGAGAAGATCAATCTAACCTTAAACAAAGAGAAATGTGAATTCAAATCCAGAGAAATCACATATGTCGGACACAAACTGACAGAAAATGGCGTTAAACCTGATGAAGCGAAAGTTAAAGCTATTAATGAAATGGAAGCACCAACAGACAAGAAAGGTGTGGAGAGACTGCTTGGAACTGTGAACTATTTGGGAAAATTAATTCCAAATTTAGCAACCCTTACCAAACCAATCAGATCGTTGCTGAAGAAAGAGATCGAATTCCAGTGGTCTTTCGAGCAACAGAAAGCATTTCAGGATATTAAGGACACTCTCGCCAAAGATGAAGATCCAGTATTAAAGTTTCCTGATGTATCGAAGCCGGTCACAATTAGTTGTGATGCGTCACCTACAGGTTTGGGGGCAGTTTTGTTGCAGGATGGTTACCCAGTGGCGTACGCGTCAAGGTCGTTGACAGAAACCGAATCAAGGTACGCCCAAATAGAAAAAGAACTTCTGGCTGTGCAATTCAGTCTTGATCGTTTTCATCAATATGTGTACGGAAAGGAAGTTATTGTGGAGTCAGATCATAAACCTCTGGAGATGATAGCAAAGAAATCGCTGGCATTAGCTCCTCCTCGTTTGCAGAGATTACTTCTGAGAATACAGAAGTACAGCTACACTATCGTCTACAAATCAGCTAAAGAAATGGCATTGCCAGATATGTTGTCAAGAGCTCCATTACTCGAAACTGACGAGGAAATGGAAAAAGAGAATAATCTGCACGTACATCTCGTAAGTTCAACCCTACCAGCTTCAGAATTCAAATTACAAGAAATTAGAGAAGCAACAAAGAGCGACGAAGAACTAAGAACATTATTGAATATCATTCAGAACGGATGGCCAGATCAGAGAGAGAGCGTACCGTTGTCAGTCCTACCCTATTGGAACATTCGCGATGAATTGTCGGTGATAGATGGAATCATCTTGAAAGGCGACCGTATTGTCGTACCATTAGCAATGAGAAAGGAAATGCTACAAAGAATACATCATGGTCACATGGGGATCGAGAAATCGAAGCGAAGAGCTCGGGATGCTCTTTATTGGCCTTTGATGAGCAAGCAGACAGCTGAAATGGTATCGAAGTGCACCGTATGTCTTGAGCACAGAAAGGAGAATACCAAAGAGCCTATGATACCTTTCAGAGTACCAACCATACCTTGGGGAGTGGTGGCAACAGATTTATTTAGTTTGGACAACTCGGACTATCTACTTATTGTTGACTATCTTTCCAGATACTTTGAAGTTGTTAAGTTACCAGACACAAAGAGTTCAACGGTTATCACGTACACCAAGTCGATATTCTCTCGACATGGTATTCCTGCAGAAGTCGTAAGTGATAATGGGCCACAATATTCATCTAGAGAATTTCAAGCATTCGCAGAAAGCTGGGAATTCAAGCATACGACAGTTAGTCCTCTTAACCCACAAGCCAATGGTTTAGCAGAAAGGACTGTACAAACTATCAAAGATCTTTTAGTTAAATCGAAGAAAGATCAACGAGATCCATATTTAAGTTTATTGGAATATCGAAACACTCCTATCGATGATGTGGGAAGTCCAGCGCAGTTACTGATGAATAGACGTTTGCGTTCAAGAATTCCTCAAACGATATCGCAGTTGAAGCCCCGTGTTCCAGATCCTGTTGAAGTAAAGAAAAAATTGAATCTCAAGCAGCAGAAACAGAAATTCTATTATGATCGTCATTCAAAATCCCTTACTAAGTTACACGAAGGAGATAGAATTAGAGTAAGAATGAAAGGTTCATGGAAACCAGGTGTTGTCACTCGTGAAGAACAAACACCGAGATCGTATCGTGTTCAGACTGATGATGGTGGTGAATATAGGAGAAATAGAAGAATGGTTCTGAAGTCTGTAGAACCTGATCCTGTAGCAGAGGACATGTTTAGTGATGAAATTCCTTCAACAAGAATTCGAAGTATACCCTCCCCTGAAAATGTTGAAGCACTAGTCATTCCTGATGAAACCCAATCTCAATCGAGTAGAATCCCAGAAATTATCCCTCCATCTACAGAAGTTAGAACAACATCGAGAGGAAGAATAATAAAGAGACCATCAATATTTAATGATTTCATAATGAAGTAAACGTTTGACTATGTAGATTAAATTATTTATTTAATAACTTATCTGAACTTTAGAGCCTGTGTTAGATAATTAGAAACATTACAAAGAGATTCAGAACAGAAAAACGTTAGGGAATAACGATTTTTTTTGTTTTTTTTTCATAAGGAAGTTGTAATGATTTAGTGTATTTACCATATTTAGCATATTTAATTATTTGATCAGCTGCAAGCATCGGGGGCTCTTGTATTGAGTTCGCTCTGGAACTGACATTGTTTTTCTCATGTAATGAAATAAAAATATACTTTTCAATCGCAATCAATCTTGGTTTGTAAAAAAACATCTCTTGAAAGTGACATGCATGAATCAAGAGAATACTAAGAAAAGTGTAAAATATTGTTTCCTACGCACATGACGATTCTTGTTTCTGTGCTTTCGTGGTGAGGTATCAGCCTCGTACCCAGGCGCAAATAACTAAAAATAGGCACATTACAGTGTTTTTATATAGACCAGTGGCTAAGCTGAGCGAGCGCGCGGGGGTGTTTGGGGAGGACGCAACCGGAACGGGAAGCCCCGCGCGCTCGCTCAGCTTAGCCACTGCTCTATATAAAAACACTGTAGTGTGCCTATTTTTAGTTATTTGCGCCTGGTGAGGTATAATTCCTTTTCTCTTGCAGGCTAATTTCAACTTCCACCAGAAATTTGAAACTGAATATTCAGTTATATAAGAAAATGAATTTGCTGCTACGTTTCTGGTGCATTTCTACAACAACGACTGTAGTCTGTACGTCTTCAAATGCTTTAAGAATCGCATTTCAAATGCTTATCCGCATGCAGTGGCACTGCGTCGAAATGTGAATTATTTAACCAAGAAAAACATCCACAAAAATCGGTATAAAACCTTACTATAACAGTTTTGACAGTTCTTTCAAATTAGACTGTGTAACCTAATAACCTGTCTAATTCTATACAGTCACGTCTTAATCTTTAATTTGGCATTTACAAAACTACATCACAACTCATAACGATTCAAGTTGCCGTTACTTTTAATTTAAAGAGCATGCAATTGACTATTATTTTATTAAACGAAAAAACCTTAAAACTGTTAGTAAATGCCTTCTTTCAAAGCTATTATGTTTCCATGCAACGTTTATGAGACATTACGTTTTGTTTCAAAAACATTATAATTTGTTTCAAAAACATTATAATCATATGAGACAAATAACAAAGTCAAAGATATGCAACACTCAACAATACACCACATTCTTACACAGTATTTTTAACTGTGTAATGGTTAACTGCAATGCTTTAAACAAAAATAGTCAAAAAAACTTGAATGTTTTTAAGAGCTTTTTCGTTTAAAAAGATAAAAGTTTCGCTTCATAGATAGAGATTTCTTAATGGGAAGTGCTGACGTATGGTATTTTCGCACGCGTTAATTTGTTTTCACAAAACGAACGAGCGAGTGCAACGAGCGAGTGAGTTCTGCGAAAACAAATTAACAAGTGCGAAAATACAATACAAAAGCACTTCCCATTACTAAATTTGTTTATTTTATAGATACTGATATTTTATATTAAATGGATTGCCTTTATTTAACGTAATTTGGTTCATTCAAAAGCCAAAGGCCATGCAAAGTCAAGATAAAGCACTGCAAAGTGCAAACAAAACTTCATTTTGGCATTGTATATTTTCTTTAAATCACTTGTAAAGGACTGTCTTTACTCTCAAACTAAATTTGACATTAATATATAGTCAACAAGGCCTAAAGATTGCTAGAATACTATAACAAACAATATTTTTTCGTTTAGATGGGAGAAAAATATTAGTAATTCGTTTCAAAAACTAAATATAATGCAACTTACATCGCTGTTGTTTTCGTGCAACTACTGGCATGATATCAGTTTTTGTGTCTTTCGTATTTCCTTTCAAGAAATAGATTCATATTTATCTTTTGTAGTGTTATAAATCTTTTGCAAACATACGAGTTAAATTGTCCAATTCAAATTAAAAATTGACTTTAAACAGCAAGAAAAAGGCAGCAAACTAAATAAAAATCGGCCAAAAACATTGCCGACTGTGAACGAATTCGCTCGTATGTAAACACGGGCTAGTGCTGATTGGACGAAACGTTTTTCGCACGTGTGAAATAATCGTTTCGCGTTTCTGATTGGTTGACGTTAATCTTGAAAGGGCTTTTCACATTAATAAAACCGTGCGTAAATATCAGTGTCTATATAATAAATGGACTTTCATAATTATCACTGTAAAAAATTCTACGTAGCAGCAGTGCCATTGTAATAACATTCGACATATGTTTTGTCACTCATTGATATCGTTTCAGTATGGAAGAGAAAAGAAGCATGAAGCTCGGCACTGAAAAAAGAAAAGCAAAATTTAATCAATTCATCTATAAACTGAGGTTGGAATTTATTGCATGCAGAAATTCGCCGGTACCTAGTTAAAATAATTCAATAACCATTACGATGCAATTTTGAACGAGTCCGGAATGCAAATTGGAAACTGCATGAACTGGGACGATTAATTCTGAGGACAAGTCGAAAGAGCAACCAATCACAAATTAACGCGCATGGGCGAAAGATGAGATCTATTTTTAGAGGTTATTTGCACTGATGAAGATCCGGGCTTAAATAAGCCTGGAGTTTTGCACAAGCAAAAACAATCATTGTATTAGGTCGCATGCAAAACTACATTCCAATGCAAATATTGTTTTGAGTTTTTCCCTAGATCGAGGTCATCAAAAGAACGTGTCATTATCCATAATATTTCTTTTAAAGTTCATGCAACTTCATCGACTTCATGGGCCAAACATTCATATACCATAGACCAGTAACCTCTTCGTCGATACCGTGTAAAAAGTTGGTTAACAGCGAGAAAAAAAAAAACACGAGTGTGTGCAAAATTCCACTTCTTGTCAAATTTTGCTGAAAAGCACGCTCGTGCCAGTCCTCTACCGCATCACACGTCGATCACCACTCACTATATAAGCGCTCAGCTTGCATAGCTGTAATTAAATTTCGTAATTTAGGTTATCATGCATGCAAAGACTGGCACTGACATGACATCACATTATAGTAATTTTTGCTTTCAATTTCATCGATCTGAATATTCAGTCTATAATTGCTCGATTAGTATAGATCGCTCCAGTGCTTCAATCTCTTTATATGGTGATTGAAGCTTCGATCCTCGGAAATAATACTTTCAAATTTACCTTATATCAAATGCTAAGATCCCACCGTACAAACACATATATCTAGAATAAAACGTAGATTCAAATAACGATTGTAGGAATTAAAAGTAGTTTAGGAGGGAAATGAACTATAGTAAATGCCTTTTTTCTGGGTTTTTTTTGTACAAAGTTTGAGTATTGACGTTTTAATAACCAAATAATTTAAATAAAAGAAACTGGGATGGAAAATCTTGCAACCAAGGTTTAATTTCCGCATGCGAGCATATCTGATAAAACAATCTTGCTCGTGTTTTAAATAGTACATATTATGTACTATTTAAAACACGAGCAGGAATGCTTTATCAAATTATATAAAACACGAGAGTGCAGCTCGAGTGTTTTATATCTGATAAAGCACTCCTGCATGCTCGTGTTTTAAATGGCTTAAAAAACGACTGATGAGTTCTTTGGCGAAGTAATTTTAACATTAGACGTTGTCTAAGCCGGGAAAATCACAAATTAAAGTTTGTGTAAATAAACTATTATAATATTTTACGACAAAACTTTAGTGTTGGATTTTCATTTGTTTGCCAATATAAAAATTTGGGAAAACCGTGAAAATGTCTATTTTTATGCCATATCTTAATTCAAACAAAATATTGCTAAATAATATCCTTACTTTACATATTCTTTGCCAGGAGTGTCTGAGCTGTAGGTTGTTTTTGTGTAAACATCAAACTATAAACAGGAGGATGAAACGCATAATTATATTAAAGTAAGTTCGGAGACACTACAGCGTGTATAGAACAAAATCCAACTTTGGCATGTTATCGTACATTATATATTATGTTTATCCACTTACGTTTTTCATACCAATAAAGATCAGCCTTTAGCTGTAGAATGATACCTTTTTTGTATCATTGCGATAAAAATTGCGATAAAAATAGCCAAATACAATCCGATTTAAAAATGCCGCTCGAAATAGCTTTTTCCACCCTTGGGAATTGTATGTAAAGCTATTATATATATTTTTTTTAATTTTGCCTACAAACTCTACTACAGGGTGTTTCGGAAACAAAACCCTGGAAATTCAGCATGCATGAATACTGCATTTAAAACAGAAAAATTACAACATGGCGTCCGAAGGGTCATGTAGAGTTCACTGGTCATGCCAACACCTTACCTGCGAACAGGCATACTCCGGAACTGAGTTCAGTTTGACTGAGCATGCGCACGAGGCGATTGCAAAGCGTAAAAATGACCATTTTTACGAGTAAAAGGTTTTTAGAGAGTTTTTTACAATAAACGGATGGAAGAGGGTTTATTAAAAACTAAAAAGTATTTAAAGGTCGAGGGCTTTTCTCAGGTCGGGCAAGGACGCTAAGGGAAAGTACATTTATTACGCCGAGGGGGGGGGGGGGGGG